TAACAGCACCCAAAGCGCTGCCGGGCGAGTGTTCTTTTTTTACCAGTAACCTCCATGTCTCGAGTGTACATTTAGCCTGCGAGCGCGTAGGTAATTCACAGCTAGGGAGTCACCGCTCTAGTCAGTATGCGTATTTTTTTCAGAATTTGAGAAACTAGTAAACTAACTGCCACAGGTTTCTTGCCGGAGGTGGGCGTTGAATTGTCGGTAGGAATGACTTGTCTGGCCGCCTACACAAGACACGGGGAACCGCAACCGCCCACAATACATGTGTGGCTTTGCGCCACGTTCCGGGAAGGATTAAATTTAGGATTAAGGTTGGGGTTAGGTTCAGAGGTGGGATCAGGAATATGCTAAGGGCTTATAGTTTGAATTTGTGTCACCTGTAGAATTTTGGTTTGTGACAGGGCTGGGGTTAGGATTAAAGTTATTAAGAAGAAGACAACTCGATCGCTGGGACAAAACTTTTATTCGTCCGACCCATTTCTGCTACTGTTTTATGGTAATGTCTCTGATGATGAATCCGCGACGGATGTAGAAACGTCAGGCGAATAAAAGTATTGTCCCAGCGATCGAGTTGTCTTCTTCTCAATTACTTCCAGGGACTCTTATGTTCGCTTGTATTGGAAATTACAATTAGTAATTTAGTTTTATGTTGAGGTTGGTGTTAGAGTTGAGAAACAGGCGTATTTGCCCTTCCTGAAGTTCACCACTAGGCCGTCCATATTAAGCGGGAGGTGGATTGTTCCTTTTCCCTTGTCCTGTTTAGTTGCCTATACACGTCATCCTTGATGTGGTGAATCATCGACCTTCTTGTCGCGCCTAACAGTACGTGGCCTCTTCCGGTTGTTTTAATTAATCGATAGCTTGTTCTTCTCGATTCACAAGGCTAACAAGATATTTCTGCAGTCAAGCAGTTGGGGTCGTCACATATGCCTCATTTACCAGTAAGAATGCCAGTGAAGGATTGCTTATGATTTCTAGACCCCCCATAGGACATAAAGTCGACCAACAGGTAGTTAAAAAGGGCGCATTTGTCGCCTCAAACCCCCAAAACACTTAACTGTTAGAACACCAAGAGAACTGTGTTCTGAGTCAGGATC